GCAGAAAAACTTTTACAGGAAACAAAACCTACCTGCAGACGCCATGTTTGGGCAACAAAGCGGTGACGGAACATGCGCTTTTATTAGAAATGTAGAGAAGAAGAAAATTCCAGAACTCATGGTCTGATCTGGGGGATGATCTACATCGTTGAAGCTTCTGGTGTCTCTTCCTCAGATTCAGGACATCAGCGTGGAGACTGAAGACAACAAGGAAAGGCGATCGGCTAAAGATGCCCTGCTGCTGTGGTGCCAGATGAAGACGGCCGGGTGGGTCTTCATCGCTGCTGGTACCGCTGTTGTTGATAAACAACACCACAACTAACTTCAGGTGTTCCTCCTTTTCAGGTACTCCAATGTCAACATCCATAACTTCACCACCAGTTGGAGAGACGGCATGGCCTTCAATGCACTCATCCATAAACACAGGTACCGTCTTCTTCATCCGGGACACTTGGGCAGACATGTTGTTTTGATAGACACACACGTTGTGTTCTGAAGAGCTTTTTTGTGCGTTTTCAGACCCGATCTGATTGACTTTGATAAGCTGAGAAAGTCCAACGCTCAACACAACCTGACAACCGCTTTCAACCTGGCAGAGCAGCATCTGGGCATCACCAGGCTGCTGGACCCTGAAGGTACCAACCAGTCTGACCAAAACAGAACCACTTTTATTCCAAAGGGGACGCATCATGCAAAATTCTCTTTCTTTTTTTTTATTTTCGCACATCCGTTTGTCACTCTCTGCCTCTAGAAACAATCCAAATAAGTGAGTGAGAGCTTATAATAAGTAAACGCTTTGTTGGTGTCTGGAAAATGAGCTGTTTTAAGAAACCTTCGGATTATTTCTGAAATCGGTGGGCACCGCCCCTCACCTGGCAATAGGGCATTCACCAAAAAGTCAGCTAGTCGACTCACATCTGGAAAACTCAAAAGATAACCCCCCACCCCCTGACTTTATGTTATTACGTCATAGAGAAATGCAGCGACCAATATCAGAATCGACCAATGAAGCTGTTTTTCAACATTAGTATTAAAGGAATAGTACACCCAAAACATGATTAGCCTTCATTTTCTACTCACCCCCATGCTGAACAACACTCTGGAGTACTTTTTTGATAT